ATAGAGATACCATTTGACCCAGCAATTCCACTACTGGGAATATACCCTAAAGAGACCATAACTGACATCCAAACAGATATATGCACACCCATGTTTATTGTGGCTTTGTTCACGATAGCAAGGAGTTGGAAACAACCTAAGTGCCCATCAACAAACGAATGGATAGAGAAGCTGTGGTATATTCACACAATGGAATACTATGCTTCATTGAAAAACAAGGAACTCATGCAATATTATTCAAAATGGGTAACTCAGGAGGACATTATGCTGAGTGAAGTATCTCTGTCACAAAAGGACAAATACTGCACAGTGCCACTGTTGTAAAACAGGACTGACCTTGAGGTTGGGGAGAGACTGAGAAAGATGGGTTCAATAATGTATATTGCATTGAAACAGATGAGGGAGAAAACCGTTTAAAAAGGATATGTGATTGGGTATTTTTGTCATGACAGGTGTTTAGAGTGAAGGCTGCATGGTGGAGTGGACCTGGGGGAGGGTTTGTCAAACAATGAAAGAACTTTTCTTTTACTTTTCCAAGAGGGTAGTGTTCTGGGGGGTGGGGGAGGGTTGGGAGGGGAGAAACATGCAACAACGAATGAATGGAAATCCAAAGTCTCTGTAAATTTTTACTGAAATTAATAATAAATTTAAATAAAATTTTAAAAAAGAATAATTTCTTTTAAAAGGATTAGTACAAAATGGATTCCTATAAGGCAGCAGTTAATAATGTCTACCTCCTCCAGTCTTGTCCGACACCCCACCATCTCTAACTCCTACTCCCCTCAGCCCTCTTACACGCAAATCTCTCTGGGTTTTTTTTTTTTTTTTTTTTGAGCTGAAAAGTCTCAAACAAGCTCAAAAACCATCAAGGAATAACTCACACAGTTGAGAAGGCAGCAAATTTCCAAGTCCAAGATTACTCTCACTGGAATCCTGGCTGGAGGGTAGCTAGAGGAGCTGTAGGTCTCAGCTCTCAGCTCAGAGAAACAGGATCAGGTGAGATGCAGCATCAGGAGAGAGAAAGGGCAGCATCTTCTAAGAGCATTCACCTCTGGAGGGTCTCTATATAGGTCTGTAAGCCACACCCCCAGAGAACTAAGGGGAGTGTGTGGTTCATACCTTCTAACGAGGTGAGAATTCCCACCCTAACCCTACCTCCTTTTTATTTTTTAGATAAGACAATCTTTCTTAATTGGATTTTATTTAATTTCCATTTATTCATTGTTACACATTTTTCTCCCTGTCCCCCCTCCCTCCTTCTCCCCCAGTTAGCTTTTTTCTTTGTAAAAAAAAAGTTCCTCAACCCTAACCCCTTAACAACACCAAGTTCTGGTGGGGTCATCCATAGAGAGCTGTGCTGCTAGCCCCTCTGCCACCACTCTAAGGGTGTAAGATGGGTCATTTCCTGCCCTTTGGTTTGTAGCCTTCAAACATCTGTTATGAGTCAGTTGCTTTGAATTTAGTAAAATAACAGATAACTCACTCCCGAATTATGTCTTTAGAGTGGAAAAAGAGGCTAGAATAACAACACATTCACATTATATGATGAAATGCAGGTGTTACCAGAAAACTCAATAATGACTAGAAAGTCAAACAACTTTGCAGAAGATTATAGATCTGTTGGCTAACAAGAAAAGTGTAGATTTATCAGCAAACAAGATAATCCTGCAGAATACACAGAGAACCTGAGAGGAGTGGAAGTGAGTTTCCTCAAGGGTAAAGCACTCTTCTCAACTGTTTGTCTTGGAGGGGTGGTTTTGGAGAATCTCTCGATTACCAAATGTTTCTACAGCTGTGATTCAACTTGATTCTCACATTAGCACTGTGAAGCGAGATCATTTGTTAAAAGTTTTAAATTAGGTTAGGGAAGATTGGATTGGCTTTCTCAAATTAAGATTAAATAATCTACATATCAAACAATGTTTCCTTCTTTTTCCTTCTTCTGAATCTTATTGGACCAATGTTTTTTGAATGATGTTCTTCTGAACAATTTCTGCAAGATAACATGTGATAAAAAGTTCAGTTGTAAATAAAAGCAGACCAGTAATTAACATCATTACTTTAAAGAATAAAGTCTACCTGCCCTAACTCACAGTATTTTAAGTTGATTCATAGGATGGAAAATAAGGAAGACTGGAAAAGAACAGACATATTTAAATTATGATATTGCTGCTGTTGTTGTTGCTGTTTGGTACCGTCAAGTCAGAAGAGATGGACGGCTGACCCTTCAGTAGGTTTTCAGAAACAGTAAATCTCACAGGATGAGATTGCCCATCCTTCTCCTGCAGAGCAGCTGGTGCATTGCTTTGGGATTACAGCATAGCTTCTTACCATTAGGCCATCAGTTGCTTCATAGGCATGGAAAATAAGGCTGATTGAAGAACAGACACATTTGAATTATGATCTTGGGGCAGAGAGTTGAACATACCCTGAACAGTCAGAATAACACACAAGTCTGTCTTGGAAGAAGGACATTCCCATCCAGATGCTTCTTAGAAGCAAAAGTGAAGATAATGAATCTCGTGATTTGGATATGTTTTCAGGAAGGACAAGTCCCTGGAAAAAGGCTTCAAGCATGATACAGTAGAGGGTCATTGAAATAGAGGAAGACTCTCGAGAAGATGGATTAACACCATGGCTGCACTCAAATATGGCCTTGACTGTGTGGGTAGAGCAGGACTGGACAGTGTTCCACCTACTGTACATAGGGTCACCATGCCGCCAGAACTGACTCAGCATCACCTAACAGTACCTGGCCCCAAATAAAAAACCTTTTTTGTGACATAACCTTGGAGCTCTCCACCAACTGCCGTTAAAAGAAGCATTTCATTTCCAGGGTAACCCCTGCCCATGGCATCAGATCAAGACTACAAAGCTCTCTTAGTGTTACCAATTATAATGCTTCCTCCTCCACTTCTCTATCAGGTTTGAGCGAAACCCATGGCTCTGATAGGGCAGAATTCAGATGTGTTGTTCATGAGAGGTCAATATGAGTCATAGACAACTCTATGGCACCTGACAGTCACATCTTTCTGGAGGGATGGGGTTAAGTCTAGAGTCTGATGGTACATAAGCATCTTCATTATTTGACTCAAATGTGTTCATGCTCTTGTGAATATCCCATCCCGACTGAACTCCTGGGAGCAGAGATCAGGTAGGTCACTGGTACAGGACTAGTGATCATGGCACAGATGTTGGGAGAAGTAATCATAGCACCTCAGATTCCCTCCCACCTTTGAGAATCTCATACTGTGGAGAAGTACCCTGAGAATAGGAGGCGTGAGGCCAGAGCATGTGGACAACCAAAATGATTTCTGGGTGACAGTCCCCTGCCTCATTTGCACCAGCAACATACAGGCACACCACTGGCAGCAGAATATGGCCAGTGCTAACACTGCAACTCTTGGAAGGTCCTGTCTTGATTTGCTCTGGATGCTACATCTCACCAGATCCAGCCAGCCCAAAATCACCTTTGTCTAGAAAGCCAAGCTGTCCATCCTCCATCAGGACCTGCAGACATGTAAAGCAGCCAAACCGTCCAGACTGAAGCGGGATCCAGATTTGGGAAGTGTCAGCATCCACGACATCCAGAGCCATTTCCCTAATGTCCGAGGTTCTGGAAGAGGTGGCAGAAAAGCATGGAGCCCAAAGATATAGATTGAGAGAGAGGACTGAGGGGAGGAAAATAGTTGATGTTACAGTTGGTGAGCTGGTTCAGAAGTTTGGAATATTTTATCATTTGGAACATCTTTAACCTCCATCTCACAGGAACAAGTTTATGTTGTTTTTTCTAAAAATCATTCATGCAAAATATAACCCATATCATAAATAAAATAAAATGAACAGAAAAAGCCAATTTATTTTAAACATCCAGATTAAATTAAAATGTAAAATCATAACAATAAATAAAATAAAATGAGAAGTATGCATTAATAGATAAACATAAAATGGCAATAGATTTAAAACAAAGTATGTAAGGCAAAAAAATACACTGTAATTAATGATATAAAATCATGGTTGGCAAACATTTAAGAAAAGGAGAGACACAGACACACAAAGATACAGTGAAGACATCCAGGTTAAAACAGAAGCACAGATGGAGCGATGCTGCCACAAGTTAAGTACCGCTGGTCACTACCAGAAAAGAAGAAGGAACAAGGAGAAATTCCCCAGCGTCTCAAAGAGACCATGACCCTGCCAACACCTTGATCATGGTGGACTTCTGGCCTCCAAGGCTGTGATTGACTAAAATGAAGTGGTGGTTAATTACCCATTTGTGTACTTTGTGACAGTTACCCCAGGGAGGTAGCACATCTGGTTTTCCACCCCCAAAGTCCTGTCCTTCTGCAAGACTGGAGTTCTCAAATAATTCCACTGGATGCTGCATGTGATCCTTGCTTCTCAACTGGGTGATCTGGACTCCAGGTTTACACATCAATGCTTGGTGGAGATTTGAACCCATTGCTCTCTTACTTCAAAACCCACAACCAACTCTTGTATACCTAGCACCATGGATTTTGAGTGGCCCTTGATATCCCTGAATGTGCCTTGCTTAGCAGGAGGACAGATGGTCCACAGAATAAGGAAAACTGATGCCCAGGGTCACAAGAGACATGACGTGAATGTGCCCAGAGGAGCCTGTGGCCCTGTGACCAACTTCCACCAGCTCTGGAATGGCAATCTCTGTCTGATTCAGATAGGCCACTGACTCAGTTCTCCTCTCCTAGCCAAAGGCCCAGGTTGTCTGAACTTCTAATGGCTTATGAAAATATGCAGATAACACTCACATTGAATTTGTATTTATTTCAGAGGAGAATTATCAAGAGTTCGGATGTCAAAAGTATACTTACTTGCTTCCTGGCTTCACTGTGTGTGGTAGTTTTCCTTATTTTCCGTAGGTGTCAACATTGTGAGATTTGCCATTTCTTTTACTATTTTTCCTCCAATAGTTTTACCTTTTTCTTAGATTCGATACAGGAGTTGTGAACTGGAATCATCTTTTATGTTTCAACATCCTCAACTGCGTCCTTTTTTTTAGAGATGGTTTTTACATTTGTTGCCATTCCAAAGAGAAGTACAAAAATGAATGAATATATACGAGCAAAGAGCAATCTGAAATATATGATTGTCCATTCACTTGTGGTCACAATTCTGAATCTTCTTGGAGGAGGCCCACTGTTTTCACTCCCACCAGCACCTGGGTTTAGACATAGTGGAGGTTCCCAACCTACATGGCAATGGCACTTTTTTTGATTGTTGCACACTCCTCTGAAGTGGCATTTTTCAGGGTGACAGTCGTAATTCAGATTGTGCAAACTACCATTACAGTAGCCTCCCAGAAAGCAGTATTTTCCATTACCACAGGGCGTGCCAGGTCTCACGTAACCAACATCAATTGTTTCCGTTGAACGGTGCTCATCCAATCCAAAACACTGGGCCCCAGAGATCAATGAATGATGAAATGCAACATGATCCTGCAAATTTGGAAGGTAAGTGATATTGGTACACTGCAGTCTCCCACACATCATATCTGGAGGTTTACATTCATCATGTGTCCTATACTCTTCATCTCTCCTACAGTGTCCAAATCGAGAGCCTTTGGTATTTATAGTATAGCAAGCACTGTCAGCATCCACAGCACTTGGACCAAAGATTTCTTTGCATTGTATGGAGCGGTCAGTGCAGTTACCATGAAAACAATATCCAACTTCGGAGCATGGTGTTCCGTCTTGTAAATAAAAATTATCAGGACAAAAACGTGATGACCCTGTACAGTACTCTGGTAGGTCACATATGTTTTTGATAGGTCTGCACAGTGTCCCTGGGCTGGAGTAAGTACAATTTGTACAGCAGAGGTCTTCATTACAAAGACTTCCGGTGCTCAGTTTGCAGTTCTGTTCACAGCACCTGTTGTTATAACACTGCTTCAAAGAGCCACAATCACATTGCTCCCCAGGATCCACTCTAGAATTTCCACAAAACCATTTTGTCAAGCTATCATTGAAATGCTGATGTATACGTTGGAACGCACAGTGTGAATCTTGATCAAATAAATTCTGAACGTCTACAATGGAACAATTACTGAACACATCTGTCATTACAGCCTGTTTAGTCATTATACAGGTGGAACGTCTCTGGCAATAACAAGTTTCTTTATCAACTTGTAAACCAAAAGTCCTCCCAACTTTAAAGGCTATAGTCATAGCAATCATAATCACAGGTCTGTTTTGATGACCAACCATGACTAGACAATTTTTTGAGCATATAGTCCTTAGAGGTGGATCATGGTCATCATCAGATGGTCCAGGCTTAATTATAAAGAAGGATGACTGTGGCTTGAAAGTTTCATACAAACTTCGTATGAAAAAATCATGAAATGGACTTCCTGGCACTCTAGTGTTTGTTACAGCAGTTGGATCTCGAACATTATATACAACCACAGAAGTAACAATGTATCTTATATCAATAGTGCTATACATTGAGTCAACTACATTACTTAACTGTAACAGATATTTGACAGCTCTATCCACAGCAAGGAACAAAGAAAATAATGTGAAAGAACTTATAGGAAGGCTTTGAAAAATACCTTGGTGAGATGCATAGAGTTTACTAGAGATCCTTGGAGCTACAGGAGTGTTTGCTTCTGATAATGGAGGGTCCTTGGATCCCAGTCCGTAGGTAGGTCCTGTGATGTTGGCATCTGCCACTATCTCAGAAACAACATGCTCAAATATGAGGGAATCATTCAGTGGTTTGATTTCATAGGTAAGATCATTCAACTTCATAATACCTTCAAGACCCCTGTAGCAGGTGGTGATGGTGACCATGGAATAAGGAATCTCCTCTAGGAAGCCGAGGTAGTGACAGTCTCTAGGGACATAGGGGTAGTCCATCTGCAAAGCCCCTTGGTCATCCTGGGACACCACCTGCAGATGCCTGGGCAAAAACAGTTTCTTGCACCGCATGTGGATGACATGCCGCTGGCCACCAAAGTGTAGGCTGTAGGAAAGCCAGCCAGGCACCTGCCCAAGTTTACCTTGGGGCATCAGCTTCCTGGGAATCACTATCTCAGAGGAGATGTAATGCCATGAGGGACGGCCTGGAGAACACTGGATGGGAATCAGAAGCTCCCAGAGTCCAAGCAGCAAGAAGGCTCCCCTGAGGACACCTTGAATTTCTGCCAACCTCATGACACGACTCAGGGATATTTGCCTGATCAGAAGAAATAAAGGAAGCCTTCTTCATGAAGCCAGGTCTGAACCATCTACTGTGGCTATTCCTCTTCTGTGGAGACACCAATTGAGAACAGAAAGCTGACTCAGGGTTCTCAATATCCTATCCCTGGGTGGGACACTTGGTCACCTGTAGGATTAGGTCACAGTTATAGGTGTGGCAGTGTGTAAGAGAGGAGTTTAGACCAACTGTGGTTGAAGTGGGGGTACATAGAAAAGCTCTTTCACTCAATATCTTCCTTGAAGGGATAAGAGAAAAGTGCATAGAGTGTCTGTGGGGGGTGTGGCACTTAATGATTCATACTAGTGCTCTGATTCTTCCTCCTAGGTATGGGACTCTGGAAACAGGGATTTATGTTTATAAGACACACATTTACATATCACAAGTCCTGGAGGAAGCCTGGCACATTCTGTTAGGAGTTGGATAATTGCTAAAAACGTAGGGGCAAAAGCACAGAAAGACAAAGTTAAAATCATAAAGCATTTTCCAGTTTCAGCTAGAACTTGTCAAACTATAAGGCAGCACAACCTGAATCCATAAATGATAATAAAAATAAGTGAGAGGGCAAAAACTAGTTAGGATAAAGAATATTTTAGGCACCTAGGATTCCGTGACATCGTGAACAGTTGATTGGAGGAGGAACTTCCAACAGCATCATTCCATTGTCCCAAACACCACCCACATACATGCTTTGTCAAAGAAGGAAGAAGCCTGATTACTTAAACCCATGGCTGCCAGGTAGAGTAGCCCAAGTATTCCACTCCTTTCCCTTCGGATTAGGGATATGTTCCATTCTCTGGGATTCAGATGTGTTCCCTTCTCATGTCAGCTGCTTTATCAGCATATTTCCTCTGGAGTGTTTTTTGAGCAGTGACTTCTCCCCGCCTCCCCCTAAGTTTATTTTAAAAATTTGAATACATTGTTTTCCAGAACAAATGCTTTCAATTTCCCTCACACACCCCCCCATAAAATTGTACAACCCTATGATTAACTCCCCCTTCACCTGCACATCCTCATCCCTCTGTTTCCAAACTCTCCCATGCCTCTTGGACCCTTATACTCTGACTTCTGATGTGCCCCCAAGGATGCTGTTCAAATGAAATTTGGCTTGTTTCTAAGTAGGCTACTGGTAAAGCTTGTATTATTTCCAGAAACCAAATTGTTGCCAGATTGGTCGCTAAAACTACATCAAGCCCAAAGTGTACATCTTCACAGTGATAGTTATGTTCTTCATGCTATGTTATCTTGGAACTAACAAAAAAAGATTATTCAGATCGTAAAAAGAAGGAAACATAGATGTTGTCTTGAACACTTTGAGTTGCTGGTAGCTCTTTGGGTAGGACTTGAAAACTGAAGCCCAACCATTTACAGGAAGCAAAATTTATCTCCATGGCAGTATCCTCTGTGGCTCATTCCTTTGGAAAGGTTTCCAGATATATAGACTCCATGACTCCATATGGCCCCAAAAGGTTTTAAACAAGATCTATAACATCGGTGTCACAGTGTTCAGCCTCACAGCAACCATAAGTTACCGCTGTACGGCAAGTGGACACCAGGGCTATATGACCTACAGGAATGTTTGAACAAAAACAGTGAAAGACTGGCCCGAGGGCCACCCAAATGTTGGCAAACTCTGGGCCCCAGACCGCCAGTTCATCTGGCAAGTCTGCTCTGCCAACCCCCACGTGGGACAATGAGAACACCACAAGTTCCCAGAGCCCTCATACCTGCTGCTCCTCAAGAAGCCAGAGGCCGCATTCCACTAACACTAGGTCACCCAAGACCCTAGACGTGGCATGACCTTCAGTAGTGTGTTGTTTATTTGGGGACTCTTTCTATTCCACATAAAATTAGGTATTGCTTTTTCCATCTCATTGGAGAATGGAATTGATATTTGTACTGGACCTACATTAAACTTGTAGGTTGTCTTTTGTTCACCTGCAGAAAACTTAAGCAAGACCCATACCTCATACCATCCAAAAAAACTAACTTAAGATGGGCCAAAGACCTAGAAGTAAAACCAAAGACTATAAAATTAATCAAAAAAAGGCAAAAGAACTCTAGAATCCCTGATCTACAGCATGAATAATCTTCCAAGTATAATGAAAAATCTACAACCAGGTGGTGGTGGTGGTTGTTATGTGCTGTCGAGTCGCTTGTGACTCATAGCGACCCTATGTACAACAGCCCTAAACTCTGCTCTGTCCTGTGCCAATCGCACTGTCTCTGACACTCCCATCCCGAGTACCCCAGTCACTGAATCAATCCACCTCATACAGGGCCTTCCCCTCCTGCGCTGTCCCTCCACCTCCCAAGCATGATGTCCCTCTCCAAGGACTGGTCCCTCCTTACAACATGTCCAAAGTATGTGAGATGGAGCCTCAGAATCCTTGCCTCCAAGGAGCCACCTGGTTTAACCCTCTCCAGGATGAATCTGTCTGTTTTCCTAGCAGTCCATGGTACCCTCAATACTCTTCTCCAGCACCACAGCTCAAAGGCATCAATTCTCCTTCTATCCTCCTTAGTCACTGTTCAACACTCTGATGCATAACAAGTGATAGCAAAGACGATGGCCTGTATCAGATGCACCTTAGTCTCCAGAGAGACACCATTGCTCTTCAGTACTTTGGAGAGGTTCCTAACAGCAGACTTTTCTATGGCAATGCGTCTTTTAATTTCCTGGCTGCTGGTGCCAAGAGTGTTGACTGTAGAGCCAAGCAGACTAAAGCTGTGAACAATCTCAATCTCTTCACCATCCATCCTAAAGCTGCCAATTGGTCCAATGGTGAGAATCTTGGTCTTCTTGACATTGAGCCTCGATCCATACTGGAGGCTGTAGTCCTTGACCCTCAGCAGCTAGCGCTTCAGGTCATCCTCAGTTTCAGTAAGCAGGGTTTTGTAATCTGCATAATGCAGATTGTTGTTAGATCTTCCACCAATCTTGACCCCACATTTCTCCTCATTAGAGCCCAGCCTCCTGGATAATCTGTTCTGCATAAAGGTAGGAAAGGTACGGAGACAGGACACATCCCTGGTGTACGCCCTTCCCAATTTTGAATCATGCAGTGTTTCCTTGCTCTGTTCTGACGACTGCCTCTTGGTCCAAGTATAGGTTTCTCATTAGCACAATCAATGAGGAAACAATAAAATAAATGTATGGGAGGGACCTTCTAAGAATAAAATCACTTTTGCGCCTCAGAAAACTTCTCCAACAGGGTAAGAAGGAAACCCACAGTCTGGGTGAAAATATAAGGCAAGCACATACCTGATAAGTCACATAAAATTTATAGACCACTCTCTGCTTTCAGGCAAGATCCATCTGACATCAGCAATGATGTCCCTAGTGCCATGGCCTCTTCTAAACCCTGCCTGTACTTCTAGCAGTTCTCTGAGTACCAGAAGAATACATATCTGTGTTTTATTGACTACACAAAGGCATTTGACTGTGTGGATCACAACAAATTGTGGCTAATCTTGAGAAGAATGGGAAAGCCAGAGCACCTGATTGTGCTCATGTGACACCAATACTTGGACCAGAAGGCTGTCATCAGAACAAAGCAGGGAAACAATGCACGGTTCAAAATTAGGAAAGGAATGCTAAAAGGATGCATCCTATTTCCACACCCCTTCAAGCTGTAGGAAAAACAGATCATTGGGGAGGCTGCTCTTTATGAGGAAAAATATGGCATCAGACTTAGAGAAAGCTTTATCAACAACTTTCATTGTGCAGATGACACAACCTTGCTCACTAACATTGAGGAGGACCTGAAGCATCTGCCGCAGAAAGTCAAGGACTGCAGTCTTCAATATGGATTGAGGCTCAACATCAAGAACACAGATTCTCACCACTGGCCCAATTGGAAGCACCATGATAGATGGAGAAGAGACTGAGATTGTCAACAATTTCAGCTTGCTCAGGTACACAATTAACACTCTTGGAACCAGCAATAAAGAATCAAAAGACATTGGATCAGAAAAGTCTACTGTCAGGGACCTCTCCAGAGTGCTGAGTCAGTCTAGAGACGAAGATGTGCCTGATCCAGCCCATGATCTTCTCAATTCCTTATTATGTATCAAAGAGCAGGACAATGAGTAAGTATGACAGGAGAAGAATTTGAGTTGTGGTGCTGGAGAAGAGTGTTTAAAATACTATGGACTGCCAAGAGATCAAACAGGTCTATCCTGGAGAGGTTGAAATCAGGTTGCTGCTCTCTGGAAGCAAGGATTTTGAAGCTCTGTCTCACATATTTCAGGCATGTAGCTGGGAGGGACCAGTCCTTGGAGAAGGTATCATGCTTGGAAAAGTGGAGGGACATGCAAGAAAGGAAAACTCTGCATGAAATGGATGACACAGTGACTGGGGCAATAAGAGCAGGTATGTAGGAGACAGTGAGCTTGGTCCAAAGCAGGAAAGGGTCACTATGAGTCATAGGCGACTCAACGGCACACAACAACAATGAGTACTTCAATAAGAAAAAGTAAATAATCCAAGCACAAAATGGGCATAGGATATGAATAGAAACTTCACCACAGAGTTCATTAAGATGGCAAACAAGCACATGAAGAAATGGTCAATATCCCTACTTTCTAGAGAGATGCAAATCAAAATAACTATGAGACATCATCTCATTCCGGTAACAATAGCAAAGTTCAACAACAAATGCAGGTAAGGTTGTGGAGAGATTGGGACCCTTATTCACTGCTGGATGGAGTGTAAAATGGTGCAGCCACTTTGGAAGTCAGGCTGGTGCTTTCTCAAAAAGTTCAAAATACCTTTCTATGAAGATGGTGCCAAAAGTGAAGAAGGAAGCCCCTGCCCCTTCCAAAGGTGAAGCCATGGCAAAGGCATTAAAGGCCAAGAAGACAGTCCTGAAGGGCATTTCACAGCCAAAAAAAAAAAAAAAAGAAAGAAGATCTGAAGGCAGCCCGAATACCCTTGGAAGAGCACCCCCTGGAG